GAAACTGTAGAGAGCCAAAGTCTTTTTCAAACACGCAGGTATTTCTGTCTTCAGTATTTGCTGTTTGTGTCACTGACCATCTGGACTTTATTCTACAATATACTGTATGACACCAGTATGGTGGAAACAACTGTGGAAGTCTGTTTTTTCTGGAATCACAACACAAACAAAAATAACTTCATAGACCAAGTATTGGTAGCAGAAGCTGCTGTTGTTCAATGACATGAATGTAATAAAAAATATAATGCAAACAATAAAAAGGTTAATTTCTCAATGTTTATACTTTATGTATATTCAATGTGTAATAGGCTACAAAATAATCAAGCTACTAACTAACAGCATTGCAAGAATATGTCAAATTAGCAAACTGCCGAAAATCTGAGAGCCGATCAAATGAACATTGCTATTTTATCATTTTCACCTTTGCAATTGTCCTATAGTTAAGCTGTCTTTGTGAGTGTTCATCTAATGAGGGGCTGGATGGTACGTGTTCATTTGTTTTTTGGATAGAAACCAAAGTGGCAGGAAAGAGAAAATTACTTCCACCTTCTTATAAAACTAGCTAACTAGTTTAGGAGTCAAAAAGCAGAGCCATTAAGTCTCTGAATATATGTTGGGGTCAAAATCTTACACATTGCAACTTTAATGCCTTGAGACAACAAGTTTGAAGAAAGGATTAAAACTACTCATGTATGTATGGTTAATATATACAGCTACCAGCCAGCATCAATATTCAATTAGCTTAGCTTAGCTAAAAATCAGAAAGCAGGGGGAAATGGCTTTGTCCACAAGAAGAATTACCCTTGGCAGCATCTCTTAATCTCACTTAATATAATTGTATCTTGTTTGTTTCATTTGTATGAAGTGCAAAAGTGATATATTGCGGTTTTATGTGCCTGACAAATTCTTGGCTAGGTGAAGCAACTTCCTGTAGTTTTGTCGTCACTGTGAGATTGCAGGGACTCCAAGAAAGAACAGGGTTTTACAAACAAAATGTACCATCTTAATAAGTTAGCTTTAAAGCTGCTGGCAGGTGGACTTTGGACAGAGCCAAGTTAGCTGTTTCCCCACTGTTTACAATCTGGTCCGCTAAGCTAAGCTAACCAGCGTGTGGCTGTAGCATTATAATTACCGTTACAGACATTTTACACACATCATTTCACTATTTTCTCATCTTAGTCTCAGCTATAAAGCAAATATGTATGTCTTAAAATGTCAAACTATTTGTAAAAGGTCAGGTGACAACTTCATACAGTTAGGGAATGCTTCCAGGCCTTTACTGTACAATGTAACCTGGAAAAGCACAACAGATCCAACCTGTTGTCTACAATCAAAGCTACACTTGTAGCACCTTCACAACCTGTCACTCAGATCAGTGGTGTGTGTAAACACTACTGTCCTAAAGCAGCTGCAGCAGCTGGCATTACCAGTATGACAGCGCTGCAGCTTGTCTATAAAGTCACCATCTGGCACAAACCTATTATTATCTCCATCACTTCATTGTGTAACACTTTATTCCCAGTGCATGCTAATGAATGTTTATGTGCAGAGCAGCTGCTGCGCCATTTATATCAAGACCACTGCCTTCATTGCTACAGTACAAGCATCATCACTAGAGTGTCTGCAGCATTTATCTGCATGAATCTTGTAAGAGTATATCTCTTGGTTATAGCATTATGTGTGTGGTAATGTGATCATTCTTTCCTCCTTTGGGATATCAATAAATGTTACTAAACCCCAAAGCAGTAGCAGTTACTAGTTAACGGAAGTAGTACTTTTAGCTTCTGCCACTAGCCTGGGTCCATGTGGTTTAAATGTCATCCTCAGTGTGTGATGTGTCCGGCGTAGCGATATACTGCACATGTGTAGAACCTTTAATCCAAGCAGATACTACATAACTATTTTGTGTCCATTTAGGAGTATAACCCAGCCCAGGCGTAAATCTCTTAACAGATATGTGCTGCACATAAATGCAAATATTTCTAGGCAATGGACAAGATGTTGGTATCTGCTTTCTGTTTGTACTCCGAGTAGTATTGACCTATCGTGTTTTGAGTGGGTTTTAGTTGTGTGCAGACAAACAATTCATGTGGAGAGCCTGAATGCTATCTCGGAAACCCTTGCTAAAGTCTGAGGCTGATTAAGCTACTTAACTGAAAAATAAACTGTTAACCGTGTGTATTATCACTTTTTGTGAAACAATCCGTAGGTAGATGCATCTCTCAACTATATTCTCGCATCTGAAGTAGTTATTTGTACTGTACGCAATAATACCTCTGGATATTTGTTATCCTGGCTACACAGCAACATCTGAAATATTGGCCCTTTCCCCCAGACGTTTATTTTCATCAGACCAACAGTTAATTTCCCTCTTAATTTGCCAGTAACCCCAAAATTCAAGTCAATTTCCTTTTTCTCATCCTGCTTCAGAGATCAGTGACTTAATGTTGGCTTTCATCAAATACCATGTTTTTGTTATGTCCTCTGAACATATTGTGTTATTCTCTTTCTCTCACCTTTTTCTTCACACTTTCACCTCCTTCTTTCTCTTTTCCCATTTCTCCATGCCCCCCCCCTTTCTAATCAACACTTCTCCCCGTTTCCTTTTCTCGCCCTCATTTCATTTCATCTGTTTCTGATCACACTATAGTGTAAAGCAAATGCAAGTGTTGTGGTGTGGTGACAGGCTTTTACTCACAAGAAGGTGAATGTTCAAACTGTGTTTGACACCTTTTTTTTTAATCAGTCAATCTAGTATATTACGCATTACCTCATCCTTTCTCTCTATCCCCATGACAACAAGAGCTAGGGAGATCACAACACAAGCTGAGAGAAAGATGGAGGGATTGAGAGGAAGCTTTACGTAAACACATACTGTATGTTCAGCTGATAACTGAAAGTATATTCCACAGTTCAGCATCAGTGTCTATTCGATAAAAGCGGAATCAATATGCCAGAATATGCTAATTACATCACATGACATGTCACGTGTTAGACACTTTATCCAAAGCGACGTACGTACATGCAGTGCTGTTGGCAATCCCCACAGGAGCAGTTTGGGGTGAAGTGACTTGCCCAGGGACACAACGACATGCTGACTGCAGTGGGACTCAAGCTCACCCCTTATCCGAAGATCAGCGCACTACCCCACTGAGCCACAGCCTCCCCTAATGTCACACTAAATGTATTAAAGTGACTTCCCCAAAACCTAATATGCAGTGTAAGTGCTATTTATCAATCTCAGTTTGTTTTGCTGTTTGTTGTCGAGTGTTGGATATACAGTATCAGCTATAGAGTTCTCTGTCATCTGTCCAATATAATGGAAATGGATCCAAGTGCAAAAATACAACAAAAGTATCGTTTTATGCTCTGAGATAATCACGTAAGCCGAATGACGTGTAGTTTCGTAATACCCCAGAGAAGACAGACATAAATGGCCAATATTTTCAGAACTTCCGGCAAAATAGAAGTAAGATGAACAAATATTTTTGATTTTTGGGTTAACGTTTCCCTTTAAACGGGCACTAGTATGCTCATTTTCAGGTTCACAATTGTATTTGTGCCTCTACTGTGACATGTCTCCATGCTTTAATGTTCAAAAAGCTCTTTATTTTTCTCATACTGCCTGTGCTGCAGCACCTCCTTTCACCCTCTGTCTGAAACCAGAGCCCAGTCTGCTCTGATTGGTTAGCTGGCCGGCTCTGATGTGATTGGTCAACCGCTAACAGATGTCCCGCCCCTTAGCCTATCACGTACAATGTGTTGGAGAGCTAGCCAATAGAAGCGTGAGTGTTACATAGTGATGTCACTATGGAAGATGTCTTTCCAGCTCATTCCACATTATTTCTGGATAATCTTGAAGCTAATAGGGAAGCCTCATATCCTACATATTTGTAAGTCTTGTCTAATCTCATTAAACACACCAAGACCAAAGCTTGAAACTAAATGTAGTAAATAAACAGCACCAAATAAAGACGATTCATAGATCCAAGAAGAAGCCATTCATCGAACAAATGCAGCTAACTAAAGTTTACATTCAGCACTTAGCATCACAAACAGTTAATGCCACGGGGAATTGCTAATAGCAGATGACCAACAAGATATTTGATATTAAATTAGAATCTTCCTCTAACAGATGATGCATGATACTAGATACAGTCTCAGCGGTTAGAATTCATCTTGACACCGCTGCTGAGTGGGTCGAGTGAGTCATCGCCGCCATCCAAATAGCCATCATCATATATTCATCTCAATCTCTTTTCCTTAATCGAACCAAGTGATGCAGACACAGCTACAAATCTTGTTTGTGTGTGCATTGTTCATGTTTCTTTGTGGAAATTAGCGAGATCCGATGGGGTTTTGTTTGTTGAAGTTACTCATCATAGGATGTATCACTTGGTCTCCATAAAAGCAAAAATACATTGCTGATATCACAGGGACCAGTTGGGATTTACAAGTAAACAAGAGACTGATGTGTAAACAAATACGCTGCCGGTGAATGCAATAAAAACGTCCTGTTTTCTCTCCGATGTTTGCTCATCTCTGAGAACTTGTTGTGTGGATTGTGTCCTCTGCCGGATTCTGGGATGTTGGTTTAGCCCTGTAGCTGGAGACAGTCGTAGTGACAAACCCTTACCCCAGCAATATGAGTACTCCTTACATCATTAGCCACCATCCATCTTCACAGCACCCAGTACTGAGCACAGTAATAAACCCCTCAAGGGGATCTATTTGTCAGACGCATGTATTTTTCCTCCACCAAATCCATTTCTCCCTTTTTTTACCTCATTGTGAATTGTGACTCTTTCATCTTCCCCCCGCAAGCGCTCTTTTTTGCCGTCCTATCAAATTTGTATTTCTTTGCTGCCACCCTCACATTCTTAAGATGACTCGTGTGTATTACAGGAAGAGCATTTGTCAGACAGGGATTGCAGAAGTCTTGACATGATTCTGTGTGATAAACGTATGTCTTTTTATCTTTCTATCTTTTCTGGCTGTAGATAGAACAGATGATGAGCTGGAGATGACGACGGTGTGTTACCGGCCGGAGGGTCTTTCCCAGTTGGAGGCGCAGACCAACTTCAGCAAGCAGGAGCTGCAGATCCTCTATCGTGGCTTCAAGAATGTAAACACAGACTTTCTGGTTTTATTATTACATTATCTTGGTGAATTCAAGTAACTTCAAGGTTAAAAATGTAGATTGCCTTAATAAAAACACTTTTTTTTTCTTTTTCCCCAAATGGCATCTAGCTTTTCAGATTTGTATTAGATTTGTTTTAAGATCCTTTGTCTTGACAAAAAAATTACACAAAAATGCAAAAAAGTGACCCTGATGTTTGGCACCGAATATTTGTATTTTGTGTGGAATTATTACCCAAGACACAAAAAGCAGTTTAAAAAACGTGTGTGTTAAGGCCTGAAGGGGTTATTGTTCCTAACTGCAGCGGTTTTATATCAAACTAAAGAAAAGCAATAAACAATACAGCTATTTTTGTTCTGCTTAACTATTCACAAATGCTAATTTTGCTAGCTAACTAGCTCAAATTTGTAAGAGATTCCTGGGTCAAATGTGATGAGGTCATGCCTCCACAGTGCTGCTGATTTCTTCCAACAGTAGAGTGGAGGAACCTTACTCCGTGTTTGTCTTTCCTCAGGAGTGTCCAAGTGGGGTTGTCAATGAGGAAACATTCAAACACATTTACGCACAGTTCTTCCCTCATGGAGGTAAAGTGCAATCAAATGTCTTTCATTGCTCTGAGAAGCATTTTCACAGCAGCAGACCGCTCACGTTATCTGTTTTTGTGTTTCAGATGCAAGCATGTACGCACATTATCTCTTCAATGCTTTCGACACCACAAACAATGGCTCCATTAAATTCAAGGTCAGTCCTCCTCCATTTTGTGTCAAATAAGACTCATTCCTTGCTTCCATGATGCTTTCAGAATCTGACTTTGTATTGTTTTCCATTGCTATCAGGACTTTGTAATGGGTTTGTCTATACTGCTGCGGGGAACGCTGAGAGAAAAGCTTGAGTGGACGTTTCATCTTTATGACATTAACAAAGACGGATACATAAACAGAGAGGTGAGGTTGGGCTCTACGAGTGTGTACAGTGTTGAATATGAAGTCTATGTCTTATCACAATGTGACCTTGTCTGTTCTCAGGAAATGACGGAGATTGTGAGGGCAATTTATGACATGATGGGGAAGTTCACCTACCCTGCAATAAAGGGAGACGTCCCGCAGCAGCATGTGGACGCTTTTTTCCGGGTAAATAAGTCTTATTTTGAATATAAGATCAACGAAAGTCAAAAGTAAAGTGTCTTTAAAGATACCCCTGTAGATCTAAAATGATAATATTAGCTTCATTGAGACTCTTTACAAGTTGATGTTGCATAAAGCTTATACATTTTAAGTCATTAGCAAATGTTTTATAATGATTCTCCAGTTGGTACTCAATACTGTGAACATGTTTCTGTAGGTACTATAATCTATATGTGTTGCAACAGGACATATTTGAGACTGATTTGTATTATTATTAGGGTCTGAGACCTAGGTCGGCGAAGACCCTATTGAAATCGGTCGCGCAGCGACCGATAAACCTTTGACCCCCGCAACACATGTGAAAACTCACCAAATTTTGCACGCGCGTCAGAAGTGGTGCAACTTGCGATATGTAATTGGTTCCGGAACTTTGCGTAAAAAATTGTGTAGGCCACGCCCACTTCTGTTTTTAACGTAAACTCCCCCCACTTTAACTTTCACGTAAACGAACGAAACTCGCTACGCATATCTAGGGTGCGGAGACGAACAAAAAAGCCTCTTGGAGGGGTAAAAAATAACGTACAGGAAGTCGGCCATTTTGAATTTGGCGTCGAAAAAACGCGATTTATCGCGTTTCTCGTCCTCCGCGCAAAATCTATCTTCTCCCAGGGACTTTATCCGTACGACTCGAAATTCGTCGGGTAGCATCTCCAGACATGGGCAATTCAAAGTTATCACGGAAGTTTTTTTCTTTCGCACGGCGCAGCCGTGATTTGGCGCCAAAGTTTGCGTTCGCTCGATGCTAGGCCCATCAAACGCCATGGAACACGATGATGTCATAACTCCAACTGACATGCTCACAACGCCACCAAACTTCACATGATGGTTAACACTGCGGCCCTGAACAGCTCGACGTCAAATTTTATGTTACTTAATATGGCGTTACCATGGCAACGAATCCCTCGCCATAAAACACGGTGTCGCTGTAACTCCAATGGACACGGTCCCATCGTCCACCAATCTTCACTTTTATATCACCGGTCCATGCCTCAACAGCTCTACGTGAAATCTGAGATCTCACCGTATGCCGTTTCCATGGCAACGCATCCCTCGCCGTAAAACACAATGTTGTCTTAAGTCAATGGAAAATGGTCCAAACTGCACCACACTTCAGATGATGGCTACTAGTCCGGCCCTCAACAGCTCTACGTGAAATCTGAGATCTCACCGTATGCCGTTTCCATGGCAACGTATCCCTCGCCAAAAAAAACGATGTTTCCGTTACTCCTATGAAAATCATCCAAATGGCACCAGACTTCAGATGATGGCTGATGGTCCTGCCCTCAACAGCTCTACGCCAATTATGGGATGTCATCATATGCCGTTTCCATGGCAACGCATCCCTCGCCAAAAAACACAATATTGTCTTAACTCAATGGAAAAGGTTCCAAACGGCACCAGACTTCAGATGACAGTTAATGGTCCAGCCCTCAACAGCTCTACGCCAATTATGGGATGTCATCATATGCCGTTTCCATGGCAACACATCCCTCGCCAAAAAACCCGATGTTTCCGTTACTCCTATGAAAATTGTCCAAACTGCACCAGACTTCAGATGGTGGCTAATGGTCCGGCCCTGAACAGCTCTACGCCAATTATGGGATGTCATCATATGCCGTTTCCATGGCAACGCATCCCTCGCCAAAAAACACAATGTTGTCTTAAGTCAATGGAAAATGATCCAAACTGCACCAGACTTCATATGATGGCTAATGGTCCGGCCCTCAACAGCTCTACGCCAATTATGGGATGTCATCATATGCCGTAGCCATGGCGACAGATCCCTCGCCATGAAACACTGTGTTGTCCTAACTCACTGGAAAAACGTCCAAACGGCACCAGACATCAGATGATGGCTAATGGTCCGGCCCTCAACAGCTCTACGGCAATTATGGGATGTCATCATATGCCGTTTCCATGGCAACGCATCCCTCGCCAAAAAACACAATGTTGTCTTAAGCAGGGGCTCACCTCCTCTAGGGGGTCCGGGGGGATGCTCCCCCGGGAAGATTTTTTTTTAAATATTGAAGTTAAATGCATCAATCTGGTGCACTTTGAGAGCAAAATGAAGAGATCTATGGATACCTCTCTCAACACCCATATGAAGCAGAACTGTAAACAGATTTACTTTTTCTTTATGGATATTTTACTAATCACTCCCCTTTTAAACTCTATTCTTGCCATATAGTATTTCATAACTGTTTTTTCTTTATTCTCTTATTTTTTTTATAACTATAATGATCATATGAAGGTGTGCCGCGGAAATAATCTTTTGAATAATTTGTGACCAAACCGTTTGAGACCCACTGAGATAACTTAGACTAAAGTTATGTATCTAAACACTCAGAGAGTCCTTTAGCTCACCTGAGTCTCTCAGTCTGAGAGGAGAGGACTCTCCTCCAGCTTCTTGTGGAAACAGCTCCTTATGTCCATTAGTGCAGCTAGCAAACCAGATGCTAACAACACGGTCCATGCTGGCACCGGTCCCTCCCTCCCCCTCTCTCCCTCTCTCTCTCTCTCTCACACTAAATGCGCTATTGCCACACACACACAGAGCCGAGCTTGAATGACACAAGCACACGTTTATTTCCATGCAACTCTCTGATTGGTCTGGTGTCATGCCTCTGTTGCATTCACTGAACACGGGAAATTACAGTGCTGCCGTCCTCTCTTGTGTCATGATGAGGTTCACGTAAAGCATGGTTAATGTATTATATTATTGAGGGAGAATTGTCCGGGGCTAGAGAAAAAACATTCGGGGCTAAAGCCCCGGATGCCCAGGCCAGGCGACGCCACTGGTCTTAAGTCAATGGAAAATGATCCAAACTGCACCAGACTTCAGATGATGGCTACTAGTCCGGCCCTCAACACCTCAATATGACAATATTGAGTTTTCCTCTAAAGCTGTTGCCATGGCAACGCATCCCTCGCCGTTAAGCATGATATTGCTATAACTCCTGTGTAAATGGTAAAAAAGTGTTCAAACGTTACATGTGTGCTAACGGTACAGCCCTAAAGAGTGTCCGTTTTGAGATTTCGTCAAATGCCGTTGCCATGGTAACAAAATGGTCGCCGTGAAACACGGTTTTCTCATAACTCCAGTTAACATGGTCCAAACGGCCCAGAACTTCACAGGTTTGATAACGATGCAGCCCTCAACACATCTAGGCATATTATGGGGTGTCATCAAATGCCGTTGCCATGGCGACAGATCACTCGCCATCAAACACAATGTTTATGATACTGCTGTAAATCCCATGTACGTTGTCCGATCGGCCTGAAACTTTCCACGTTTGCCAACGTTCGAGTCCTCGAGACACCTAGACACACACCTCGACGTGCGGACAACAGCCTGCGGAGCGTCGAAGACCCGCTCAACGCTGCTTGCAGCTTTAATTATTATTACTATTATATTACAATGTGTTTTTTTACAGAAAATGGATAAAAACAAAGATGGAGTGGTGACTCTAGAGGAGTTTATTATAGCCTGCCAGGAGGTATGTATTCTCCTGCATCTGAAATAATAAGAAATACATGTAAAAAGAGCTTCCTTTGTATATTTGTAAATATTACATAGCATGTATTCTAAGCACAGCGGTTCACACAATATTGCTATCTGTTTAAAAGGTGGAAATTAAATGATTAAATTAGAACATGGGGTGGTGATGCACAACAGCCTCTTGTGGCAGATATTGGTATTACAGCAACAACTAAGGGAAAAATCCTCCTGATAATAAAACAATGCTTTCACACTTTTTTTAACCTGTTTTCAAAGATGAGTAAAAAGCATAGTCTTGACTTGAGCATCTCAATCAAATCAAAGTGTATTTATATAGCCCAATATCACAAACGGATTGTCTCAATGGGCTTACAGGATTAACAATCATGAATGACAGTGCTAAAGGATAAATACAATTACAAGCAAATAATACAAGACAAGAAGATAGAATGTGTAATACAAAAAAATAAAATGAGATAGAGTACAACAGAAATACAATAAAAACAATACAATGTAATATTCTCTCAATATACTTAATGCAAATGTACTAAAGTATCTCCTCAGCATGTACAGGATTGTTTTGAATTGGTGTGTTTTGAATCTGTGTAGATAAGTGATGTTATAACTGGAGGTTGCTGTCATCATGCAGCCTATACATCATGGAGTCAGTACATTGCCACTTAATTGCATCATTCCGCCCTGATTACTTGTGTTCTCTCTCTGTAGGATGAAACCATGATGAGCTCCATGCAGTTGTTTGAGAACGTGATGTAGAACAAGGGGAGATGATGAAGACAAAAATGAAATGCAAGGGATTGGTGTGAGTGCGTGTGTGTGGATGCATTATGTGCAATACATCCAGTTTCTCCTCCTCCTCCTCCTCCTCCTCCTCCTCCTCCTCCTCCTCTGGATACAGTCAAACCTCCCCCCACAACAACTTGAAAGAAAGGACTGGACTGGAATGCTTTTCGCCTTCCTGCTGAGTGTCCCCACACAATACAAAGAGACTGATGCGACAGACATTGCTCTCAGTGCTTGTCTTGAAGATTGTCCTGTTACCTGATAAAGATGCTCCTGCATTACAATGCTGCTCCCGAGCAGCAAAGAGCTTTTGTTTAACCAGCACAACTTTGTTTGCCAAAAAAGAGGATATTTTTTTGCCAAAAATATTATTGCATGCTTTTGCAAGAGGTTTCGATTTTTCACCCAACAATTGTCAGATTTATTACGGGAATTTGGCCATAAAGACTTCCACATGTATGGAATGCATCGCTGTGACTCCTGTGTGTCGACCTGGCTGCTGCTCGCCTGCTGAGTCTGTGATGCTCGCTGTTAAGTCTCTCTAAAGTCAATTTGGAAACATTACATTTCATGGGTCTGATATGTTGCGTGCCTGTCTTCCTGTCCATGATGGACCTTAGGTATTAGCGAAAAAAAAAGAAAAATCGAATCATTCTTTTATATGTTCACCTGCTGCTTTGCTTACTGTGGTCAAATCAGTGTTGTCAAAAATGTTTTGAAAAAAGGTATTGTGAATTATGTGCATACATTGGGTATTTTCATCAGAAAGAAGCTTTATGATCATCAAACCAATCGGTTTTATTTGCACAGGTGACAGGTTCAACATGATGCAGTCAATTATGGTAAAGAAAAGTATGATTTCACTGTTAGCTATGTTATTATACATGAAATGATATACCTATTAGCGAAAAAAACTCCTTTTATGTGTACACATACTCGGCCAATAAAGCTGAGATTTAAGTATATAGTCCATTCTAATAAAATCCTGGTATGAAAAAAATCTGATAATCTTGCAGGGAAATAATATTGAATGTCAGCTTTTTGGAATGTGATGACACCTAGACGGCTCTATCTGTATTAGTGAACATGTGACACTGCCTCCTCCACCCGAACCCCCCTGTGATGTCACGCTGACGGATACAGACAGACTTCAGGTGTCAGTGAGCTGTTCTCTGTACGGTGCATCAGTGTGACATCACAGCCTATGGTGTCTGATATCTCGGTGTGGAACGGTTATTCAATCTCACAAACAGAAACATATATTTAAGCCATACAAATAAACAGGTCAATTCTTAAATTGAGTGATGTTTTACCTTACAGTCGTCTTTGTTTCTGTGTCTTTACTGCAGGACTATAGTAGTATTATTCCTACAATGTTTAGATTTTATAGTAAATTAATAATAATAATAATAACTATAAAAGTTGATTATCAAAATAAAAAGAAGTTAAATATTGAGAGTGATAAAAAAGAATAAATTTCTTACATTATAATTATTTAACTATTATTAGACCTTCGTTCTATACAACAAAATAGTAGATGTCACCAAGGGTAGGAAAAAGTACTCGGATCCATTACGTAAGTAAAAGTACAAATACTATGGTCTTAAATAAGTTAAGTAAATGTACTTACTGGTACTTGTAGTATCTCCATTTTCTGCTACTTTGTACTTCTACCCTCTACAATTCAGAGGGACATTTTGTACTAAATACATTTAATACCTTAAGTTACTTTGCAGATTTTGATTAATTATATAAAACATAATCAAGTCTTAAATCAGACTTTAGTTCCACCTGGAGTAAATTCACAAGCTACCCTGCAGTATACAAAGTCATTAAGACTGCACCTTTACCAGCTTTGATAACACTTTAATGCGCAATCATTATAATCAAAACATATAATATATATATTTCTGAAATGGGCCTATTTGCATAATTAAAGTACATTTACTTTTGGTACTTTTATAAGTATATTTTTTTCATGCTAATACTTTTGTACTTTTTCTTGAGTAACATTTGGAATGCAGGAGTTTTACTGTACTTGTGAAAGAGTATTTCTACACTCTGGTACTTTTACTGTACTTCTACTTTTGGTACTTGTACTGTACAAGCAGAGGTGGGAGAAGTACTTAGATGTTGTACTTAAGTAAAAGTAGAAGTACCAAAGTGTAGGAATACTCTGTTATAAGTAAAAGTCCTGCATTCAAAATGTTATTAAAGAAAAAGTACAAAAGTATTAGCATCAAAATATACTTAACGTTCTAAAAGTAAAAGTACTCCTTCTGCAGATGGGCCCATTTCAGAATAATATATATGATATGTTTTGATTATAGTTAAAGCTGGTAAAGGTGAAGCTAGTTATAATGCATTTGTATACTGCAGGGCTTGTGTATTTTACTCCAGAGTCCAGATGAAGAAGAAGAAGAAGAAGCTTTTGAAACACATCTTTCCATCCTATCTAACGGCTGTGGGCTGAGTCCTACCTATAGTGGTCCACTGGGTGGCGCTGTGTATTTTCTCCATGTCTCGTTTAGGGTCAGAGAGGAAGAAGCAGGAGGCGGCGCACCGACCACGTTAGTTAGCGCTCTATCCAGCAGCAGTAGTTGGTCGTTCTTCACACCGCAGACAAGCAGTAGTCTCTCAGCGTTTTATACTAAAAATGATCGGAATGGACGAAGAACAAATGGCCCCACAGACCTTTCTTTACGGTGAGAATTACCCTCTGCATGTCTTTCACCATGTCACTTTAAGGTGTTTTAACAAAACGTTTCATCCTTATGCTAGGCTGCTTTTTTGTGAAATTGATTAAATAAAGCATTTTAACTGCATATTAACCTTTATTAAAGGCAGATACTCTACCTACTGTCATATTAACAGTATGTTTAGCACAATGTCTCGTGGTGTTAATGGTTGTGAGTTGGTCGCAGGAGGTTGAATGAGGTGAACAGCATGGCTTCAGAGCAGGCTACTTAGCACACACGTGTTGGACTATACAACAACATGGCGGCGCCCTTGTTTCGCGAACAACGTTTGATATTCCATTAATTTCTTTCCTCTCTAGACATTAGAACTATATGGCAGTATCTATTACATGTTGTGTATCTTAAGTGGACCGTTTAAGCAGATTTTTTCGATGACTGTTGAGCTTGTCGTGGGAAATAAAAGTCAACGTGGTTTGATATCATGCGGTGCCTGCTAGCTTCCTCCGACCAATAGCTAAAGTAGTTCCTTTATCTTGTAATTAGGTCATTATGTTTCTTTTACTTCATCCTATAAAACTACATTTGTATGTCCTTATATGTGTCGTTGAGACTAAATTAGCTACAATGTCTAGTTACTTTTGAAATATGTGGCGCTCTGTCGCATCACCCGAGCTGACCTTTCCTCCTCGTGGGATGGAAATTATATTTAGAAATGATTGGATGTATGTGTTGGATATCTCTGATGCTAATGTATTTATTTTGATTGGAATATCATTTAAGAAAGATGTCCAAAAATGACAAGTCCAATGTAGTGCCTTGTGTCGACACGTGTAATATCATATATGAATGAGTAATACGTCTGTAAGGAATGGATTATAACGTTGAAATTGTGTTTTAGACAAAAGAAAAGTCCACATTGTGTTTAGATGTATGTATTTATTCGAAAGCTATACTATGTACTTAACAAGTACATTAAAATATAAGACAGACACCCAATTCGTTTTCTTAAATTGAACCATACAGTTTAATTGAATTGTTTTAGAGTTATAGCCCCTAATCTAGTGGTGATTCCTCGTGTCTGGCCATGTGGAAAAAGTCACATATTCAGTTTAATCTGTGTGGCTCCCTCTTGTGTTCATTTGAAATATAACACTTTACACCCCAGTGAAGTCACTTCCCCCACTTTGTATTTGTAATGCTAATGACTGATATCCTTTTTGTCTTTAGGCTGTGTGCTGGAAGCAGGAAAGGATATGGTGTTCAACCCGGAGGAAGATGAATTTGAGCATCAGCTTGATTTAAGGATGGTGAGTACACTGAGATTTGATCATTTTTACATATATTATGAAGTGGCTGGCTCAATGAACGGGGTGTTAGAAAATATTGTTTACTCAACATTCCCTTGTGTCCCGAGAAGCTGAATGTGGATCACACCAATAGAATAAAAATCGGTCACATTTTTATTTAAAATTCAAATCTAATGGCAATCGTCATCCTGTCTTTTACTGAACCCCTTTCAGTTGCATTCCTGTCACTCGTCAAATATTGGAAATAATCACAACCATAACTACACACAAGCTTAATGAATGCAATTTGAGTCTTAACTTAATACCCCTATAACAAAGTCAAGCATGAGCTTTTTTCCTTTACTGTGATTTTTTTTTAAGGGTCCAAACATTTCAGCTTATATTTATATGGTTAGCATTTTGTTGTATTTGCTAGTATCCAAATTAAACTTATGGATGTGAAATTGTGATGCACTTAAATGTGTTTGTAGATTATTTTTGTTGAATAATCTTAAAATGGATACTTTTGCCAAATATGGTTTTGAACAAGTAGAAACTGCATTTATTGGATTATTATATGGAACTTCTTTTCCTGTGGGTAGTCAGCTTTGTTTGGCAAACTTAGTTATTGTGAACAGATCGGACCCTGAAGGTTAACACAGTCTTCTGCTGCCCCCCCTCTCTCAGGCCTGTGTGGACCCCGGCACCGCAGACGAGCTGCACATGGTGGAGGTGGAAGGACAGGACATGGAGGGTCAGAAAATCAAGGCAGTGCTGGTCTCCCTGAGGCCCTCCACCCTGCCAAGTGTAAGTAAACACAAACGATACATGAACATACTTCTTTGTCTCATTGAAACGCCCTACTCCGGTTAGATAAGAATGCTGCGTCACCAACATCCACTCAGAAAAGAATTAACACAGCGTTTTTGTTGCAGGTGTGTCTCGGTGGTTTCACTATCACCCCCCCGGCTACTTTCCGTCTGAAGGCAGGTTCCGGTCCAATCCACATCAGTGGACAACACCTCGTCAGTGAGTGTTTCTTAGAAGAGCATAAGGATGTTTTAACTGTTAGATTTCAATGTGGTTTATTGGGAGGGCTTTTAAATAATTCACTTGTTAAAGTCTGAGTAAGCACGTTTTTCAGTGTTGGTAGTGCATTCTAACGCTTCTAAATTCATCTTAGTGATGGAGGCCGACCAGTCCTTTGATGAAGACGATGAGGAGGAGGAAGAGGAGGAGGAGGAAGAAGTAGTCAAGACGTCAAAGAAGCGACCCGCATCCTCCCCTTCCACCAAGTCTCAGGTTTGTTTTCGCACCTGTCACTGTTTTCATCTCTTAATTCACTTCAAGTGACTAACTCTTTACCTCCTCCACAGAAAAAAAAGAAAATTGAGATGGATGATGAAGATGAAGACGAGGATGATGATGATGAGTGAGTACCAAGTCCCACAACATTTAGACTTGATATTTTCTAATAAAAATAATTGTGAGGTTTATTAACAACAGTGGAGGAAGTGATTGATTAATAAAAAAGAATAGTTTAAATGTTTGCATTTGATCAAAGTTAGTCATGGTGATTTTAAGTAAGATCAAACAGCTGACATTGCATTTAAAGATGTATTCATTCTAAATGCATACATTACAGTAATACATTTTTCTGAGATTTGGATGGTTCCTTTTCTATCTGACTTTTTATTGATCTGTTTGTTTTGTAGGGATGATGAAGATGAGGATGAGAGCGAGAAAGAAGAGTCACCTGTTAAGGCCAAGGTGACACCGTCCAAACAACAGAACGGCAAGAGCCCAAAGCCAAACACTCCTGCTAAAAAACAGGTAATGATCTCCTTTTCAGACTTTATGATATTAAATGTTTTGAGATGTAGTCACTGTATTATTTAAAAGTTGTCATATCCAGTGTAATTTCTCCAAATGATTGTATCATTCCTAATATCTAAATGTGCTGTTCCTTTTTAGGATAAGACCCCCAAAGGTAAAGGGGAGAGGACGCCTAAATCCCCAACAACTCCCAAAACCATCCTAACCATCCCTGAGCTGAAGATCAAGATGATGGAGTCCGTGAAGAAGGTGTGTGTCCTTGGAAAAGCTTTGAATTCAACTGGTCTTTTATAATTATCATTATCCTCTTAACTTAAGAGAAACATGGTGTAAATATTGAAATGTGCTCATTTGTTGTTTCCGGTCCACAGGGAGTCAAATTACCCATTGTCCAGGCCAAGTTTGAGAACTTTATGAAGAACGGTCTTAATATCGCCGACACCAAGGTACAGTACAAGTTTACCTTTTTTGTTCTAAAGT